GCGATTCAGATTCAGCACCTCAATTTTCAGTTCCAGTCAATAGTCTTTTATTCAGACAACAGCCCCTAATTCAGGCATTAGCCTCCAGCTTCAGTTCGTTGTGCCAAACATAGCCTTAAAAGGTAAATATATATACGTAGTACTAGTATAACTTATGATAAGGAGCTTTCAAAAAAACTTATAACAAGTATCATATAAGGTGGTTATGAATATTATGATTTATGAACACTGTTTATTTTTAGAATTTTATCAATTCATGATCCGAAAGATAGATAAATTATCAATCTGGGACCCGAGAGATTATATGTATCGGTATAGGACCCGAATGATGGAAAACTATCAATCTAGGACCTAACATTTCATAGGTTTTGATTTATTTATTTTTTTATTAATTCCATTGCTAGTTTTTGATAAACTTGTCTTTACGAAAATTTATTAGTTTAATAAAACTAAATGATATTTAAAATTTTCAAAATAAAACAAATTAATAAAATTCATGACAACTTAGGCCCTAGATCGATAATTTTAAATCATTCAGGTCCTATAGTGATAGTTTTTCATCATTCAAGTCCTATATCGATACATTTCATCTTTTAGGTCCCGGATTGATGATTGATTTATCTTTCGGATCCTGAATTGATAAAATTCCTTTATTTTTTTACATAAGTTCGGCTGTTCATTGAACCTGAAAGAATTTATTTGTTCAAGAAACTAATATTTAAATAAACTAATATTTACTTGGGATATTATTATCATGAACGCCTGCCTTGGGATAAATCATAAATATAACTCCATGCATTTTAATTTCAAATGCACATTGAAGTAGTAAGTTTGAATGAGTGCATTCAATAAGGTTGTGTTGTTAAAACTGATCCTTAGTTTTTGAATCTATGCAACTTTGAAGGATCAGCCAAAACTTCTATCTTCGGTTTCTATTTTAAAGACTTCTATTTGGGGTTCCTCAATGATCTTGAGAAGAAATAATTCACTATATATAATGATAGATTACATGGTCACATAATGTGATAAATACATGGGGCATTCAGGAGACAAAAAGAGTAAATACATGGGCCAATTCTAGAAGACAATGTGAGTTTTCTCGCACTTAATAAAAAACGTAGCAGCACAAGGTTTTAGTACGAATATCGTCTCCACAGGGACGGGGAAAATGAATTAAGTATTAAATAAATTCAACGATTAAACTAAATAAATTAAATGCAATGGTACGAGATTTGGATTTTTGGAAAATTAAATGTGAAAAAGCAGCTAAATTAAAGGGTTCTTTCTAATTAATGACGGAAGGGAACATATTAATGTCCTAGAGCACATGAGGAATTTTATAGGGTTGCCGCAAGACAATCTTTAGCGTTAGGAATTTTCTAGGGTTGCCGCAAGGCAATCTTTAGCCTCAGTGTGTCCGCTATCGGCTTAGCCGAGGAGCGGGGTTTGGTTTCGGCCTGCCAATTTGTTATTATTGATCAGTCAGAAGGGTGGAGATCATTGCGGGGTGAGATCTGTTGAGGAAGATTTGAGCAGCGGCGATTAGGCAGGCGTTCGGTGGGTTTAACGAAGCAGCGAAGCGGACGGATTAATCTGTGCAGCAGCAGTTCCAGAATTTTTTGTCGGCTTGGTTAAGGCATAGAGATTTATGGAGAATATTGGTGATCAATACAAAAAGATGGCAATTGGTGCGGAAGAAGAAGAACTGGCGAGCAATGGGAAGGTGACCATTCCGGTGATTGGCATGATAGATTCTCAGATGATTTTTCTGGAGACTGAAATTCTCTTCTATCATACTATAGCAGCTCGCCCTCCTCTGGAACCACCTCCCTGCGAGGAAGTAATTTGGCGAAAGTTTTTATTTTCGTATTGTTTTTCCCTTCGCAGTACTTATTTTTATTTCAGTTCGACCTGGTGTGGTCGGAGTATTTTGTTTTTTGATGAACTCTTGATAGGCAGTGTTTCGTTTTCACTTGTTTTAGGCTTCTTCTTGCCCGTTTTCTGTCTAGCGAGTCATGTTGCTTTGTATGGGTGGCTGACTCTAAGTCTATTCATAGAGCTTACGATCGGATTGTAATATCTGTCTGGATTTGGTGTTGCGTGTTTGCTCTATTTTAACGGAAAGCCATTTTGATGATCAAAAAATGACGGAAGGGAACATGTATTGATTTCAGGGTAATCAAATTTCGGGGCTGATCAGACTTAATCACATGAAAGTTATTTAATTGAGCAACGCTGACCAATACCAAGTTCTTACCGCTCTACGGTGTAGGATGGGATGATAACGATGGCTCACCTCCTGCTAACCAGGACTCACCTTCGAGACCTGACATCCCACATCAGATTGCGACCCATCTGAAGCCAGTCGAGCTTCATCCCACATTAGTGGAAAAACACGGATAGATCTCAAAGGCCTCCAACACCAGGCCTAAATACACGATGAGTAGTGAAGCTCTTATACTCTTATAGACCGTTCATACTCTGCACCGTAAATAACATTATACTATTACAACATTAAAGAATTAAAGAAAGAAGAGAAAATTACCACTAATATTACTAAAACTGATGAATTTTCCTAAAATATGACTAGTTATGTTTTTTTACTAGAATGATATCATCCATCTATGCATGTGTTAATATCCATCCCTATTTTTTAGTCATAACCGTATAGCCTTCACATCATTCTTCCTATTTTTATGCAAATTGGAGTATGCCATTCATTTTAATCCCTAATAAATAGGAAATGATATGCCTAACGTGGCTAATACATTGGAATCCCCATGTATTTAGTAATGATTTGAGTCATACCCAACATAAAAAATCATGTATGGTCATATTCTAGGAAAACTAATGAGTTTTAGTAATATTGGAGTATTTTTCCCAAGAAAGAATGGAGTATATACAGAGTATTTGATACATCTTGAGTTTGTTGGTTATTTGGTCGAACAAGGTTAAGTCAATGTGTTTAGCTCTAAGGGTAATTTAGACAATGAAATTAATATGGGCTGTGAATAGTAATTTGGGAACTATAAATAGAATTGCCCTTTACCCTATACTAATTTTTTGGCTGATAAGAAAAATCAACCCAAAGAGCCCCATTTAATATGTGTTTGGTGATTTTTTCACACTTTCAAGCATATCAACCTATCTTTGGGGCTCCAAGCAACCACTATATTAAAATCATCCATTATTCTTTATAGGGGAAAATAAATAATATACCCTGAACTTTACCTTGGTGTGAGCTCCCCACATCATACTTGTCTTAGTTTAAAAAATACCCCCAATTTTATTTGTTTAAACTTTTTGTACCATATTTTAATTAACAAATAATATTTCTCAAATTAAAACCTGTTAAATAAATTTAGTTGGGAAAAAAAGATGCATGATTCCCAAAAAATGTGTGCTTTCTTAGATGGCTTAGCAGGACATGGGGCATAAATATCTCAATTTTACAAAGTAGGAGATATTTATACAATGTGGACGAATTTGGGGTGAGGACATCACACCTATACAAAGTTTAGGGTATTTTATTTTATTTTCCCCTTCTTTATACTCCCTCTGTCCCGTTGGAATGTTCCCGATTTGACCTACACACATATTAAGGAAATAAACTTACCAGAGGGTAAATTTTACTGTTTTAACCAGGCCCGGCCCGGCCCAGGTGCAACTGGAGCAATTGCACAGGGCCCCCAATTTTGGAGGGCCCCCAATTTTTTTAAGTGTAGTAGTATACCCAGGCCCATTAGTAAGGAGATAATATGAAAAAAGACAGCCCAATCCAATTTTTTTAAGTGTAGTAGTACTCCAATATCAACCCTCTGATAATTACATTAAGGGGTCCGCACAGCTCTTCCAACTTCCCTAACGGCGTAACTCTTCTCATTTGCGTCTTCTACGTAACTCGAACAAATGGAGAAATCGAAGCGATGAAGCCATTTTCGAGGAGACCAAGACTGAGGCGGCTACGAAAACGTCGGAGAGGTACGAAATTTAATCAATTTATTTTTTTACTGCTAGATTTTAATGTTAAATATCTTTTATTCTTCTCCAATTCTTTATTCTGCTAATCTGCTAGTGGCCTAGGACTGCTGCTGCGATTCTTCTTATTTCTCCTACTTCCGATTTCGTCATTATTCTAATTTTCTTCAATTTTTCATTCATTCTTTCTTCGGTCTGCCTTATGTGCTATGTATCTACTGGACTGCTTCCTGCGATTCTTCTTATTTCCCAATGGGCAGCACTGCAGCAGGAAAGGAAAAGACACAAAGCAGAAGCATTGAAGCAACCGTCAACTTGAGGACTTGACTGTTGAGGGTGGGCATTGTCGCATTGGCTATTCTGTTAAAGTGTTGATCTGTTTCGGGACTTCAGCCTTCAGGTGTTTTTGTTCTCATTCATATTTCTAGTTTACTTTTTAATTGTTAATTTGGATTCATCTACATCTTATAAATTACAATTTAATAAATTGATATTTGAAAATGCCTCCTAGAATTAGAAAATATGAATCTGGATATGAAAAATGAATGAAGAGAAAAAAAACAGATGAGTTTATTTTATCTGAAAAAGGAGCTTTAGAAAACTTTGTTACAAGAGAACCACAAGGTGTTGATGTTGATGATATTGTTAGTATAATTATAAATTGTGATTTTACTTTTTATTTTATTATTAGTATTTTTGTATTAAATATTAGGGCCTCCGATTTTTCTTTTGAACAGGGCCTCTCATTCGTCAGGACCGGGCCTGGTTTTGACACTGTTTCGACATTGTTTGACACTGTTTTGCACTGTTAGACACTGTTTTGATGTAGGATAACTTTCCATTTAAGGAATTGGGAACTTTCCAACGGGACATCCAAAAAAGGAAAGCGGGAACATTCCAACGGGACGGACGGAGTATCACGTTGGTAATTTGTTTGTGAAGGCAGTTTATGTTTACTATGTAAGCCCAACAACGTGAGCTATTCAAACTCTTAGCGTGAAAAGCCCAAACACGACTGACAGTAATTGAACCTCACCCCTCCTTTGCCTTTTATCTTTTCTTCTCTCTCTGTGAAAAAAGCTACACTTTTCCGTGACCTCCTTTTACTTTCCTCTGCATCTACACTCTTGGAATCAATCTTACAGACAAAAAGCAAAAGAAAACTTCACTCTCTAAGTTCACTTCATCTTAAGTTTTCCTCTCTGTTCTTATTTTTCCTAATGGGAGTTTGGACTTCACCAGTGCTGTTCTTCTCCTTGCTGTTCTGCTTCACTTTTGCAATTCAGCTTTCTGAGTCAGCTACTATAGTGGTTGATAGGGTTTTACTTCCAGAGCGAAAAAACTCAAGAGTTCAAGTGGGAGACTCCATCAGTATGTTTGTTCTCCATCTTTCCATTTTCCAATAACCTGGATTGTTGTTTTGGTCTTATCATTCGCATTTAATTTGTTCTTTCTGTATCTTTTCTTTTCAAATGTCAGTTTTCCAGAACAAGTATGAGTTCAATATCTACATTTTCAAGAACCAGAATGCTTTCGATGCCTGCAATTTCTCTCAGGCTACTCTTCTCACCAAATCTGACTCCAAAAATTGGACAGTAAGCTCTAGTCTTCATCTTCTACTGCAATGGCGTTGAAGTTTTATTCTTACAACTCAATGTTTAGGCTTAATCATCTTTCTTTTTTGAAATAGTCACATATTTATTATTAAAATAAAGATTATTTACGAAAAATGACTAGTTACTTAAGTAGTAATGAAATTATAGTTATGAAATTATAGTAATTTATGTTCAAATTTTAAATTTAAGTTATCATAGCATTACATTCTAATACGGAGTAACTGCTAGACATATTTGTATAAATATGTTTTATTTTGGTAATATTTTTTAAACATCCATTTTTTTCTCTTTAATACTCCCTCCGGTCCTAAATAAAGTTCAGTGTTTGACTTCACATAATTTAAGGAAATAAATTTGACTTCACTGTTGTGACACGGTTTGACACCGTTTGGCACTGCTTTGCACTGTTTTACACTTTTTTGCACTGTGTTTATGTAGATAATTTGCAAAATAAGGAAGGGAGAAGAAGTGTGAACTTTATTTTGGACCGGCTCAAAAAGGAAAGTGTGAACTTTATTTAGGACCGGAGGGAGTAATTGATAACATAGCACCAAAGCTCAAAGACCCTACAACTTACGTAGTTTTTATTTATTTATTTATTTAGAAAAAGGCTTAAATTGACCTTTTACTACAATCATCAATCATCACTTAAGCCAGCTTACTCCAAGAAAATTTGTTTAACTTTAGAAAAAACTGAAGTAATAGTAAAAAATCAAGGATGTTGTTTTTTGGAGCATGCAAAAAAATTACTTCTTTATAGTGTTACAAATTTGAAAATATGAGACACTATGGAGGAATTACAATTGAAATCACATAGACCTACGGCGAATTCAAATATTTCTTTAAAAACTTTGAATTCGGGGAACTCAGAAATGGAGCATTTAAGGGTTTAAATGATTACATGAACCCTCTAAAATCATCTAATTTATTTTTTTAAACTCTCAAAAAATTAGAAAAGAGGGTCTAAACCCTCTTCACCTTTCTTGTCCTTTCAAAGATTAAAGTTGGCCGAGTGGAGTGAAATGGAATTAGAATTATTAATTCATTATGTTTTATTTTAAATAATGAATCTCTTTGCGAATTCTAAGATATGATAAGTGATAATTGTTTTATTTGAAAAACAACTGTTTGGAGAGTTTTTAAAAACCCCGTAAAGTTTCCAAAATAAAAATGTATTCTTTCTGGAGTTTCTGCGCATTCATAAAAATGTAGATGATAACACCCCCATTTTTGCATTCATAAAAATGCTAATGGGTCTGTTTTGTGATTTCACGCACCATAGTCAAAATTACCAGCTTGTAGCCTTGTTGTAGTACTTGTGTCATGGACTTGCATATCATCTAATTAAAACAGAATACCTATAAAAAAGCTATAAAATTAGTTTTGGTACTACAAAAAGCTATTATGTTGACTAAAAATTTAAAGTTTTTGTATATGTATCACATATTTTGTAGCAAAAAGTAACAGAAAAACTTGTTTTCTTTAAATTTTGTTGAATTATTTTATTTCTGTTTAAGTTACTCTTCTGGTTAATTTCTAACTGATAATGGGGAAATATATGCAGTGGCATACAGGGCGACCTGGTTCCTTCTACTTCTCCTTTTACAATGGATCAAACAAGGCATGCTTAAAGGGCCAAAAAATAGCAATCAAAATAACTTCCTCCTCACAGGCACCGGAAAGTCCTGCTCCCTCCTCTGGTGGAGCTCCTCCGCTGATTTCTGGTGGGATTGTGTCGTCTTCTCCGTCGTACCCGTGGCCTTTCCAGCCTCACGAAATAGGCTCTCCTTCTTCTGCGCCAGTTGCTGCTGCTGTTGCTCCGGCCAATAGCCAAATGGACCCGGAGAAAGGCGGTGTTATCCCATTTATCAGCAGTAACCCGGCAGTGCCCCTTCCCACCGGTGAAGTGGACTCTGCCACCATTCTCCCTGCTCCCGCTTCTGTTCACTCTCAAGGACAGGTAACTATCAATTTCTGATTTTTTCCTTTGACGATGAAAGTTTTACCAATTTCTTAGGGTAATTCCCAGAGTAATAAAATTATAAAAGTTCAATTACAAGAATAGCAGCATAAAGTTTAAGTGAAAATTCTCAAAACAGAGTAAAAACGTTTTCGAATTAAAATTTGGAAAATATTCACATGTATGAGGTTCGGTAATGTCAATATATGACAGTAACTACTCTTATTTAAGATTAAAAACATGACAAACTTATTTTGAAATTTACAAACATTTTTACTCCCATTTCATACAATTTCTTAAAGTTTAAATTTTGAAAATAGGAGTAATTGTTTTATCCTACCACCTTTACTTTTTAGCGAGTTTTGTTTTGAAATTTACAAACATTTTTACTCCCTTTTTATAACAAATTTCAAGAGAACAAGTTTTTCAGTTACTTTTTACTCCCATTTTTACTCCCATTGCCCTTGCCACGTTTTAATAGGATTTTTTAAATTAACAAAACAAAAAAATAAAATAAAACGTAAAATCAGTAAAAAATAATTAAACAATGGACAAGCATCAACCACCACCTAGGGATGGACCCGGGTCGGGCCGGGCCCGGTTCAATGTCTATTTTTTTTTGCTTTCTTGTTATCCCCCGACCCCTCCACCCCCACCCCCAAACCTCCCCAAAACACCTAGCCCTACCCTAGGAAAAGACAAAAAAATTGAAAAAAAAATTGACCCAGGCCCGGCCCGAACCGTCCGGGCTGGTTCGCCCAAAACTGGGCCCGAGCCCGGCCCGCCCGGCCCGCCCAAACAGGCTAAAAGCCCAGAACCAGCCAACTGGTCCGGTCCGGGCCGGCCCGGTTTAGTCCATCCCTACCACCACCTCACACACCTTCCAACACCGCCACCACCATTCTCTCGAAAAAGTGTCAATCTGCAAAAATATTGTCATCTTGATGGCAGTTTTCAAAGCAAATTTAGTACTTCCAAAGAGAAGAAATGCAATTTCATGAAAATTTTGAAGAAATATGACTTTTTACACAAGATGATATTTTTTTCTCCGTCAATCAGAGGTAACATTGCACGAAGGAGATGCGACTGCAAGACGCCTAGCTATTTTTTAATATGTTTATATTGTTTTACAATTTTTTATTTTTTTATTTTTATTATGTTGTTTATTATAATTTTTTATGTTTTTGTTATTTATTTATAAATATTCTTTATTACTTTTATGATTTTATTATAAATAAAACTATGATTATGTTAATACTAAGATTGTCTTATTGAAGAGTATAGCCTTATATAAAGATGGAAGCATAGGAAGAGAGATCATCAATTTCTCTTATGTTGGCAATAAAAAGATTAAAGTCCTATTTTATAGTCATCTTGAAATTATTTTATTTTAGTAATATTAAGTACTTCCTCCGCCCCACAAGTTTTCGGTAAAATTTATTTTTACTTTATTCTTACTTTATCAGTTCAATATCAACCGCATAAAATTCATTTTTTAATAACCGCACAACCTCCAAATATCCCAATATAAGAGAGACAGAGGTAGTGTTTTTTTTTAACATAACAATAATTACTCTTATTTACGGAAAAACGTAACACTCATATTTGATAATTACATATCATTTTTACTCCTAGTTAAGTACTTAAGTGTACATAAGATATAATCACCAAACTTAAAGTGGTTGATCGGATCATATGACACCGGAAAATTTCAATTCAAGCAAAAAAACATCTTATTTAGAGAAAATTGGTTAAATAGAAATGAAGTAATATATATTCAGTCTCAATGATAGCACTCATTTTTAATTTAATGAATAAGTCGTGTTTCTAATAAAGTTGTAAAGTATATACAGTTATAGATAAATAGCCCCGTCCTTCACTTATACGCTATTGTTCATTTAAGTGCCTAAATTTTCGTTTAGAACAAACAAATACAGCTTACACAAACTTCTGAAATAATATGAGGCAAGGTGCGCAGTGAGACTGTGACTCTGTGAGAATACTACTCCACATTGGATGGCCCAAGGCTGGTTGCTTTATTTAATTTGGAACATAGAGTTAAAAATGGTTTCTTAAACTCAAGTTATTGAATAAAAGTGAAAAGATGTGAAAATTACTCCCTCAGCCCTGGAATTATCTTCATTATTTCCTTTTCGATCCGTCCCAAATTTATCTCCTCTTTCCTTTTTTGGTAAATAATTTGTGGTTCACAACCATTCTTAGACATTTCTCTTTCCTCTGCACAACTCTCCACCGCATATTTCCCACTATCTTAAAACCCGTGCCCAGTCAAATAAGGAGGTAATTCCGGGACGGAGGTGGTACTATTGAATGACCCAAATCCTCTTATACCCACACATGGTAATAAAGGCTGGTGATGTTGTTCATTGGGAACTCAATTTGTCCTCTTCTGTCCTTAAACACTTTTGGGTGGAAATGCATGCAGGTGGTAAGGGGGTTGACAATTCTACAAGCTTCCTTCTCTGGAATTTTCTTGATGATGCTGCTGCTGCTGCTATAATGAAAAGGTCATTGAGGTTTTGGAATCTCTTGGGGTTATGTTTTTGCACCTTTAGCTGTAAAAAGAATTAGTGATGTGTAAGAATGGCATGAGAAAGATGCTATATTCAATCTCAAGGGACTGAGGTCTGAGTGTTATCCTTATCAATATGGAGATCGAATGCACCACTCTTCTATGCTCAAAGTTTCACCTTTCCCCATTCTTATTTCAGAATTTTGGTCAGTTCTTTTTTACTGCCTTAATTCTTTGAATGGGGGAATTTGGGATCTTATGATCCCACTTTTTAAAGTCATATCATTGAATGCGGGAATTTGGGATCTTCTGATCTCACTTTTTACAGTCATATTTTGAATGGGGGAATGTGAGATCTTCTCATCTAATTCATTTTTTAGTGTTCTAATTCATTAATCACCAACTTTCTCCAGTTTAACTTGATCGTTGAAAATAATATGATTATTTAAATAATAATTAAATATATTTTGATATTTTCATGGGTAAAATATATAATGAGTTCATTGATGATAACAACGTTATTATTATGTGTCTTATTTTTAATATTTGATGACTAATGTGTTAATTAAGATTGTGTTGATTATTTTCCTAAAATAAAATGAGAAGGTTTGTAGCGGAGATGTTCAAAAGTGGCAATTGAGAAATTTAAGCTAGGATGTGTAAGGGTGGACTGGGTCAGGTCTACCCGGCCCGGGAACCGGACCGGCTCGTCAGTGTGCGGGAGCGGTGCGACCCGGTTGCCCGGGACCGGCCCAACCCGGTTGCCCGGGGCCGTGCCTAGAGTTCGAACCGGGGGTTTTTGGGGCCGGGTCACGGGTTTGGGGTTCTTTGGTACCGGCCTGGGCCATTTTTTTTTCAAATTCTTTGGGAGGTAAATGGGTTGGTTGGGTGTTTTGGAGGGGTTTGGGGTGGGGGGGTGGGGGGGGGGGGGTGGGGGGGAATTAATTAGAAAAGCAAAAAAAAGGTACCCGGCATGGCCCTGGCCGGTTCCGGGCCTGAACTCAAGATAAAAAAGTCCGGTTTGGACCGTCCCGGAACCGGTCCATGCCTAGGGATGGGGGAGTAATAATTTGACATATCTTTTTGAGAAAATTTCCTAAATTAGAGTAAAACATTGCACGTTTTCTCAAATAAGAGTTGTATTATTTTCCTCTCTAAATAGTAAATAGGACCAAATTCACTCCCATTTAGGAAAATTTACACTCTTTATTCTTCTAATGGGACTAATAAATCATATTTGGATAAACAAAATATATTTAGTCTTACTTTTTTTTGAAAATAAAAGAGCGGCTTTTATATTAATATCAAGAAACTATACAAGAGATCAATTCGTAAGTATTAGGAATAGATATTGAATCAACCACCTCATACATATCAATTTGACTCGCTAGGAACGAAACAGACAATTCTAAATCTAAAATGACCTGAAGAGAGCCTATCAAACCTACTCAAACTAAAATAAATATGAGTGTTACTAAAAAATAATAATACAGGAATAAAGTCTTTCCATTAAACATTTCATCGCACAGAGGTGATTCTAGAGGAGGAAGAGTTGCTGCAATATGGGTGAACAATAGATTCTTCTTCTTACTTTATGAAAAGACATAGAAACATGTGGAGAAAAAATACGCCTCTCTCATTCTCTATGCAGCTCAAAGGTAGGTACAGAGAAACCCCTGACCAAGCGAAACTAGCCGAGACACCAAAGAATCTCCCCACATCGAAGCAAACAAAACACTCTAGAGCACAAGGTCCCTGGAAAGAACTGCCATATAATAGAACAAGCACAACAACAAAAGAAGAGCATCAAGTTGGGTCATACTCCGATAAAAAAACGAAAGCAATGTTACCTTCAGTCTAGCCGGAGAGAGAACGACTACAAGGCATCTCTACTCTTCGTAATTGTCCGCTCATCATGGTCGCACAAAGAGCATAGATCTGCGATGCTCAAGATCGATTGCTGCTAGGGTTTTTAGAGCACCGCGAGGCCTAGATCGCACTTTGCATATGTTTTTATGCTATTTTGAGCAATTTCTATATATTATTCAAGGGTCATACATAACGCTACTCCGGCCCATCTTTATCTCTACTCACCACTAGTTATCACAAAACATTAGTTCATCAAATCTTTATTAAACATTCTTTTGTTCAATCATGAAACTTAAATAACAAAATATTAGTTATCACAAAACATTAGTGCATCAAATCTTTAATATTAACTAGCATGTGATACCTGCTAATTGAATTTAATATTAACTAGCATGTGATACCTGCTAATTTAGGGAGTATATATTACATGTTCTCTAAGATGAGTGTGAACAATGGAAGACCTAAAGGGGTTTGGTCTCACGTGTCGTTGCTTTTGACTCCGAAATTTAATATAAGCACTTATGGTGAAAATTTGTGCTCCCCCTATGTGAACAAAAAATATAATTATTAGATAAGATAATATTTCCATCAAAGAAAATAATTAGCACTCTTAAATGAAAAATTAATCATCAAATATTAAAAAATACACCTAAAATATCACAATTATCATCGATGACCTCATATGTTATATACCCATAAAAATTAATTGTGAAAATATACTTGAATTGCCTTATTTTGCCTTATTCAATGAGAAGTTTAAGCCGGGATGGAGGTACTAATTTCTATAGTTCGTGCTCCAATTGATCAATCATCCATTTTCAAATAGGCGCAGAACTGAGTTAAATTGGTTACAATTGTATCAAAAGTGGAAGTCCTAGTTCAATTCTATGAGACTATTAAATGAGGGCTTTACTTGGCAACAACATATTACCTATGTCACTAATATTTCAACCAAATTGTGATTAGATCTTAATGTAATCTTTCAACAAAATGTTGGGCGGGTACAGTGAAGGACCTAGCTAGGGGGGTCCCGGGGGGTAAGTGCCCCGACTTCCGACACCGAAATTTAGTATCAGTACTTATGATATAATCAGTGCCCCACTTCTTGATATAAAAATATGAGTATTAAATATGTAAGAATTCTGTCTACACATTGAATAGATTAGTGCCACACCCGACCCGACCCACCTTCGTCCATACAGTAGTGCCCCGCTTGAGAAAAGTTCTAGATCCGCCACTAGGCTGAGACTTGAGAGATGAGACAGTGTATAATACAGAGTATGGTGCATTTCTTTTGACAAAATGACCAAAGAGTTGGCAGCCTAACATGTGACAAAATAACCAACTCTGATACACCTTTGGTCCACACTTCACAGCCGAGTTCCATACTTCCATGTGCAGTATAATATGTCTTCATCTTTTAGTTTTATCTTCGAAGAGTACTTTTTAGCATATATAGTCCCTATATTTTATCCAGGATACTATATGCCCACTTCCACATAATAAATTTTTCACTTCTCAGTATTGGTTAAATTTAGCTTTTAAATTAAAGTATCATCCGATCTTGAAATGCTCAAGTGGGCAGTTGGAATGCATGTAATAATAAGGGCGGCGACCTGGTGTCCTGCCTTCCTGGTCAAGAGTGGTGGAGATGCATTTATTTTCATGACCAAAATATTTCGTCGTGGATGTTCCTTTGAGAAGGGTTGACTTTAATAGTCGATCTGGTCGGTAGCAGTTGACTCGTTGTTATCAACAATAAATTTAAGAATCGTATTATCTCTGTCCCACTAATTTAGTGGGAGCTGACGTTATGATGTGGTGTGGTTATTAAGAAAAATATGTTTTCAATTCACTTTTGATATTGATTCTATAATGTGAGAATAGAATAAGAATGATTTAGAATTACACAAAATTTACCAAATTTAGTATGTGATAATGTTAATGAGATTGATCGAAAAGGAAAGATGAGACAATTTTAACGGACAATTTTTTCCCAAGAATATTATTTGCACTTTCCCAGTCTGGCCCCGAGTGCTACAACATAGCGCCTCCAGCTTCAGAAGGTCCAAAATTTTAAAAACATAATCAATGTAATATACAAAATGCTATTTTATTTATTTAAGGATTAATATTTTAGTATATTGTAAAAATACAAACATTAAAAAATTACATCGATTAATTTGCCCTACTTATAGTATTAGCACAAGGCCCTTAATCAATTTGGGATGTCCTTGATAATCATAATAGGTAAATGGTATGTTTGGTAACTCGTTTTTAGCTTGCTATCAGCCTTATCATAATAATAGTGACACTCATTCTTCTAAAGAGAATCGAGAACTAGAGAGAACGTGATATCTATAAATGATCATTCAATCATTTATATGGATCCCAAAGGGAGATTTATAGGGAAAATATGAACCGGACTATCAAGCCCCATTACATAAAATTACTAATAATGAATATAATATATACCCTAATGAGCATATATGAGTAAATAAAGTGTACAATAATATCTAAACTATCTGCTGAGCATACGCGGACCGCTGTCTATGTGCAGGAGGTGTGACATGCATTGGGAGTTCGAGTCCATATACTTTATGAAATAGATTTTTTTTTGACTAAGTTGTCTTCTTATGCTCCATTCAACGTTACATTGTCTTTTACTTTTTATTTGTCCACTAAAAATTGGTCATCATCTCTTTAAAGTAAATAATTTGTGGTGCTGTTTACTTTCTTTCTTCTCTATACCAACCTTAACAACATCATGTTTCACATGTAAAACAAACTCGACATTGTCCAATGAGACATCGGTGGGACTGATTACCTTTGTCCCATAATTAAATTCATAGTTTGATTTTTTACTCAAACATTCTAAACTTATTAAACTTATTTAATTATTCAGAATTTACATTACTTTGTCACACAAAATTAATTTTATATACTTCATTACAATATATATTATTCAAATGTTAAACTTCAACCTAGAAGACCGTAAAAGTAAAGTCGTGAATTTAATTACGGGACATAAGGAGTATAATTTTTCATATTTCAACAAGTTCCGTCAAATCAACCGTGAATCGTAACCTCTACGTACATTCAATAGTTTCACTCGATCTAATAAATTTTATAAGGGATTTATCCAAAAATGTTAGTGAATGAAATTTATGGACATAAAAGTTACTAAAGTTACTATGAGTGTAAATGCATAATCATTAAAGTGTAAAATTGAACATGGTTATGGTAATTAAAAGTTACTAATCTAGTCGCTTTGTATTAATTAAAAGGATGTATTTTTGCACATTCTATATTTTGTCATATTGACCATTTAGTCATATTTAGTCATATTGACCAAACAGACATAAGTTCTTAACGAATTGGTTGAAATGGATTATTTTATAGAACACTTCTTTACAACAACATTCAAGCCTTTAAAGAGCGTTTGCAAAAAAAAAGTTTTCAAGTTAATGGCTGAAATGAGTGTTTTCAAGTGACAATTGCTGCTTAATTAAATATATTAAAGTTAAAAGTTGGAAG